TGAAGCCAAACAGTGAACACAATAACTGCAGGAAGGTTGTGTAAAATCAGAGATGTATTTCCTGTGAATATTGATCAGGGATGAGTTTTCCTGATAATTTTAGGAACTTTCTAATACAATTTGGTCTGTATTATATATGTTTTTATATTTTTTAACAACCATATACACTTAATAGGCTTCTTTTTTTGTGTTTTAAAAAAAAACAAAGTGTTTTCTTTTCATTGTTCTATTCGCTCTTTGGTTGATTTTTCTTCACTGAAATAATTATCTAAACTTTAAAAATGACAGTTGTATTTCCTAAGAGATTCCAGACCAGGTTGACGGGCTCTGTAAACCCAAAGGGAAGATGTGACTGGGACTCTTTTTGGTCCTCACCTTCTGCAGGTGGGAGACGTACACTGTATCGATGCAAGACTCTTCGGCAACATTGGCCGCTTCATCAACCACCTGTGTGAGCCCAACGTGCTGGCTGTGAGGGTGTTCACCATGCACCAGGATCTACGTTTCCCCAGGATAGCCTTCTTCTCAAGCAGGCCCATCAAAGCCGGAGACCAGATAGGGTGAGTGGTGGAAGAACTACTTCAGCTCTGTGTACTGTCTTCCCTTTCTTGTTCTGTAGAGAATTTTCAAGTAAAATGTTGACGATATAATGTGACCGTGTCTCTTCCTCACCAGGTTTGACTATGGCGATCACTACTGGAGGGTGAAGAGCAAGTTCTTCAGCTGCCATTGTGGTTCTCTCAAGTGTCGCCACTCAGCTTCCAGCAGATAGAAACTCACTGATGACCACTGTTCCTTCTTTCTGTTGGACACTTCTGTGACCTCTAATGTCAGAAACACTGCCTTCTCAACCAGATACTACGTAAGAGTGATGCTTTGATTAGGTAAACACCTGACAGATTTATTTATACACCTAATAAGGTTGCTTTTCTATCTGATGAACACTGCAGCGTGTCAGTGTTTAACTAGTTTTAAAGAGCCAGCAAGCAGGTTAAAAAGTCTTAACAGAGGATTTTAACATTCATAAATTCTTCCTTTAATACTGCAAAGTCTTATATTTGTGGATTAATGAAGTGGAGTAATGTTTTTGGTAGTCTGATCTTGTCTATGAACGTGCTTTTTACTACATGTCTGATTAGCAATTAAACACATTTTAAAAGCATCTTTAAGTTTTGTTTTTTCTGGCGGGCTCTCGTCGGCATTCCGGTTCATCCCAAAGGTGTTTTTCATGCTGTAGCATTACAGGGTATCCATGGGTTCTTCAAAAGTCTAAAAAACAATCAGAATTGTATGCCTTAAAATGTCTTAAGTATGACTTTTACAAATTATAAACAGTTATTAGATTAATAAAGTTAACATTGCTTGTATGAAATTGCATGTGTTAGCCTTGCTTTTACATATGTTGTAGGGAAAAACTTGTATTGATCATGCTCTAACAACTACAGAATGAAACATATATAGAACCAATACTGATTTGCCTTCATACGCTTTATGGACGTGAAATATGTCTTAAATTGTATTCATAATGGTCTTAAAAAGTCTGATGTTTAACTTGCTAAAACCTGCATAAATACTGCATTAACATTTCCCTTTGCAGGAACTAATGGGCCCAAACCAGAAAAAAAACTGATAAAGACCAGAAGTACACAACAGTATACATACAGCATACTGTATGTACACAGACATTTTGCCCATAACATAATAACATTAAAGATATTTTCTGTCAAAACACAAAACAATTCTATTCTAGAACAGACCAGGAAAAACACCTCAGACCAAAAGTAAACGGACAGGGGTGTCCATTTACTTTTGGCCATATAGAGTAGTACTAATATAATAGAAAACTACACACACCACAGACAGGGATTTATAAAAATCTTTATTTGTATGAAATCACTGACTCAGTGTTGAATTGTAGAGCTGCCTCCACTGTAGGTGGTCAGATAATAGAGATGAGAGTCAAATGTGAAGTTACAGTCTTTATTCTTCTACGTTCTCCATCTGAGATAATTTCTAGCGAAACAAATTAGTGAAATTACATTGTTACTTATTTTTCCATGAACTGCTAGAATCCCCTAAAGCATCCTAAACTCTGCTTGGACCTAGACAGAAAACAGCTGGCTACTGGGCACGGTTGCTGCCAAAATGCTTCTCTGGACATTACAGAGATTGTACACAAACACAAACTAAACCTGTTCCTTCATGTTTCCAGTTGGCAATTGATTCATGAGAGGGAAAATAATGATAGAACATGATGGTGCACTTTTAAAGGCTTTAATAATTTGAAATGACATTACATTATTTTCTTTTATGAAGATTCTTTCTCATTTTCTGAAATTTTTCTCATTTTATTTCGGAAAACTTATATATTACAAATTACAATTTATAATATGGTGTTCATCCAAAAGGTACAATTCAGAAATGGGTAACCTTCCACTTCATTTCATGTCTTATTTTCAAGTGAATTCACAGATTCACTTTACCTTAACTGGACAGTCATTTTTCCAAACATTATAAAGCTTGTAACTTATGGAACTCTAATTTTAACCAATTTCTCTTTCGATTAAAAGTGTCATATTTCAGTGCAATTTAGTAATAAGATAAGATAAGATAAGAAAAACTTTATTTGTCCCACAATGGGGAACTGCGAAATTTGCATTTGCAACCAGCATACAATTAAGGACAGAATAAAAAAATAACAAGAAAAGAATAAAAAACAAACAAGAGCAAAGATAGCCTTGTAAACCATCAAACTACGAATGAAAAAGAATAGCATTGCACAGACTGGTGACAAACTGGTGTTTGTTTTTTTTGTCCAATCAATCATTGCTCCAGTACAACAGTTTGGTTGTGACCTAACAAGCACCAGAAGAAAGCCCTTCTGTATCCTCTTCCCTCTCACCAATCGAGGTGACACCTGTCACTGCAAAGCTGCCTCCAAGTTTGCATCAGTCCGTGCAGGGGGTGGGACTCATTGCCCATCCAGCATCGATGACACTTACCGGACTTCTCCTGGTTCCAGCCTCCCTCACGAAGTCACAAGGCGCCCAGGACAGGAGCTGATTCCTATCATACTGCAATCCACTTCTTCAGGTCTCTTCCCCATCTGTGATACACTCGTTCCAGTCCCGACCATCGTACCGGACGGCTGATGCCACTAATGAGTCAGTTAAAAGCGTCTTCTCGACCTTTCAGCAAAAAATAAACACCACATCCCACTAATTGCTTCACCTTCAAGAATTTCGCAGCCTTACCACACAATGATGCAGACCCAGAACTTTATCACCTCTGCGTACACTTGGTTCTCTATAACATAGTCAACCGTTGTCGATGCAATCTCTTTTGTGGTCTATGTAAGCCACTCAATTGCAATGAGAGAGCCACATCATTAATATCGCGCGTGACCCTATCATCCACCGAGTCGCTGTGCATCTTCTGAGGTGGAACTGATGGATATAGTCGTTTGGAAGAGAAATGGCAGCTTAAATGCAAAAAGCTTGTTTTCAGAGCCAGAGGAGCTCATTTTTGACATTTATGGTGAAAAAACCACATTCCTGCTTTGTTCCGCTTAGACATTGCACCTGACAAACACAAAAGTTTATTAAAGGTCCAAAATTACAATGCAAATGGCCCAAAAAGTCACCGTTTCATAATTTTGTCTATTACAGCCAACTAAGTGAGTTAGACGCCACACCATCAACATCCCTCTGTCGCCAATCACACCGAGGGCCGATGTGCATCTTCTGAGGTGGATTACTGATGGATATCTTTGTAGTCTCGTTCATGGAAGAGAATGCAGCTATATAGACATATCTTGTCAGAAGCCAGAGGGCTTCAAATATTTTTTGACATCAATCTAATGCGTTGCCCTGTTAAAAACTACCACACTATCTATCCTTTGCTTTCGTCTGCCAACACCGAATTGCCCACACATGAAACACAGATTTAATTAGCCAGCGAATTTAACTATGCGAAAACCCGCGAAAAGTTCACTGCTTAGTTTCAACTTCTCTTTTGTGCTATTACAAGCAAACTAAGTTGAGAAGAGCACAGCTACACACTCTCATATTCTCATGTCCATACCGAGGTCTCGCTGTCGACATTAACTATACCTGATGGCTGTGAAACTGAATGGATAAGAAAATTCCGTCGTTTATCTGGAGAAGAGAAAAAATGAGCAGCTTACAATGAAAAGCCTATCTTTTCAGAGCAGGAGGAAGCCTCATTTCCCTTGACATTTAGGTGGAAAAAACACCCACATTCCTGCCTTTGTTGCCAGAATTGTCAATCTGAAACACCATACCCAGAGAAAAGCCAGACCATTTATTCCACATCGTCGATATTACGCCAAAAAACGTCTCTCACTGTTCATACTTTTGTCTATTATCAGGCCAAAATATAACCCATAAAGTTCGAGATTTGAGCCAAAATCAACTATCCCCTTCTACAACCTCATCCATTCACCGACCCTGGCGTCCGCTGTGCATTTCCTGAAGGTGGAAACCTGAACATTGTTACCTTTCACAGAAATCCCTCGTCTATGTCATGAGAAAGTACTGCCGCATACCTCTCAAATCCTGTTTAATTACCAAGATGTTAAATAAATTATGTCTAGAGCCAGTATGGAGCTCGAATAATTTATACGCACATTTCCGCCGTGCGCAACAACACCACCATTCCACTCGCTTTGTTGCCAGATAATTAGCTACCTTTGAAACACATTATAATGCGCCAGAATTACATGCGAAACGCAAAAAAGTCACTGCTTTCATGACTTTTTGTCCTATTACCAAAGCCACAAACTAGTGAGAGAAGCCACACATCAAAAACCTAAATCATAACAAACACGAAGGCCCGATGTCGCTAACTAATCCCTGAGGTGGAAAACTGAATGGATAAGTCGTTCTGGAAGAGAATGGCAGCTTAAAAATGAAAAAAGCTTCCTTTTGCAGAGCAGAAGGAAGCTCATTATTTGAACCATTTAGGTGGAAAAACACCACATTCCTGCTTTGTTGCCAGAATTGCACTGAAACACAATAAGGCCAGAATTACATGCGAAACGCAAAAAAAGTCACTGTTCATACTATTTGTCTAATTACAGCCCAAACTAAGTGAGAGGCCACATCAAATCCTTCTATCAGTCAACCGAGGGCCCGATGTGCATCTTCCTGAAGGTGGAAACTGATGGATAAGTCGTTCTGGAAGAGAATGGCAGCTTAAATGAAAAGCTTCTTTTCAGAGCCAGAGGAGCTTCATTTGTTTGACATTTATGGTGGAAATAACACCAACATTCCTGCTTTGTTACCCAGAATTGCATGGGAAACACAAAATATAGTGCCAGAAATTACATGTTGAAGCGCAAGAAAGTCAATAGAATATCATACTTTTGTCTATTACAGCCCAAACTAAGTGAGAGAGCCCACATCAAATCCCTTCTATATCAACGAGGGTCGCATCTTTCTGAGGTGGAAACTTGATGGAATTAAGTCGTTTTCTGGAAGAGAAAGGCAGCTTAAATGAAAAAGCATTCTTTTCAAAGACAAAGGAGCTTCATTTTTGACATTTTAGGTGGAAAAACACCACCATTCCTGCTTTGTTGCCAGAATTGCATGGGAAACAAAAAAATAAGGCCAGAATTAACATGTGAAGCGCAAAAAATGTCACTGTTCCATACTTTTGTCCTATTATAGCCAAACTAAGTGAGAGAGCCACATCAAAATCCCTCTATCATCACCGAAGGGTCGCCATCTTTCTGAGGTGGAAATGATGGATAAGTCGTTTTCTGGAAGAGAATGGCAGCTTAAATGAAAAAGCTTGTTTTCAGAGCCAGAGGAGCTCATTTTTGACATTTAGGTGGAAAACACCCACAATTCCTGCTTTGTTGCCAGAATTGCACTGAAAACACAATAAGGCCAGAATTACATGCGAAAACGCCAAAAAATTCATGGTTCATACATTTTGTCTATTACAGCCAATACTAAGTGAGAGAGCACACATCAAATCCTCATATCATCAACCGAGGGCCGATGTGCATCTTCCTGAAGGT